AGAGAATGGTTTGATGTTAATGTAACCACTGTCATGATTAATGAAAAATTTTATTAATTTTATTTATGAAACCACTCAAAATTTTATTTACTTACTACATTTCCCTTATCATCAACTATTACATCTTGAGTCACATCACTATTTTTTATACTGATGATTACATTTCGTAAAACATTAGAAAATTTTGCTGCATCCATAACAATTGATCCTCAACGATCAACTTCCTCTTTGCTAACACCAACCTCTGAAATCGACGGACCAGGATCAACATCACTAGTGTCATCACCACCTCTGCGTACATCAATCTCTGACAAACTCAGACGACCTCTGCGTTCATGAATAACTGAACCACTTTCCCAAAAACCTCCTAATAACAAATCTCTTCGCCTCTCCGGTAAACCAACAGACTTAGTCCGTGTCAGAATCAGAATGGCCTTCGTTGGAGGGCAATGCGAAACATCAACATTATTATTAGTATATTTTTTAGATAACACAACAATAGAGGGGGCCCTCATTTGCGAATCTTCTAGCATGTCACTCGTAGAATACTTCAGATACCCCTTCATTTTACAATACATAACCCCCCTTTTAATATTCGAATTTTCAAGTCGATACTTCACCATCTATGGCACCTGTTTGTCGTTAATTGAACAATAACCATTCCCATAATAGACTAACTCGCATTGACAATCCAATGGAAAAATAAACCACGCCTGCAAACTGTCATTACCGTTTAACCTCCGATCATAAATATTTACTCTGACCAACCCACTAGCATTAGGTGCGCAAAGGGGGGAATATTTTATCAATATTTTATCAACCTTAATACTTTTTTGTTTGTATCTTAACCTCAATTGAGAAAATAAATTAGGCAACGCAAGTTCAATACAATTGAAATCACTTGTTGAAACACCTTCAACAACTCCAGTTTTTATATCGTCCACCTCCATTAACCTAAGCATTAGAAATAAAATACATAAAATTACAATTCTAAACAGTTTTAAAGTACATTTGACTCCTTAAAGTAATTTTGCATTCCTTTCCACTAACAGTAGCAGCCACTAAATATATGGCACCCTTTTGAATACTTCCAACATTTCCCAACAGCGTATCTTTGTAGTCCGTCCAAACATCAACTGGAAAGAACCGATCTACAACTTCTATCCCGTGACGAACATACTCTTTGTCCTTACCACCAACGAGCTTGAATCTCATTTTCTTTAGCATCCGAAACCGGTCGGACTGGTTAGGATCAACAATCCAGGTCTCAGGATTACCCTCCCCAACTCCAATAAATATCTTGTCAGGTGTGGGGACGGAATCTAACGGACTATTATCACTTATGATGAAAAACAATATGTGGTGGACCACAGCTTCATCTTTAGCATCTTGTCTCAATTGAACATTCCCAATTAATTTTATACCCTTAACCACGATCTTGTCTGATTGACGGTCACATCTCTTATTACACAACTCAATACCATTAAGCAATCTGGCCATACCTTTATTATCAAATTTAACATCCCTTAATTGTTCATCGTACAACTGCAACTTCCTTACTCCCCTCATAGTCTTCTTAATATAACATGGAATATTCTGAACGTACCGTCGGCGAATGTACGCCGCCTTAAAAGGTGCACGACCACAGTAACTCCGCTTATATCCATTGATCGCCGGTGTCCTTGACCTCCGGTATGCAAAGGGGGTCCGATACTGGCTGCTTCCTATTCCTTCTATTTTTTATAAAACACTCCAAATCTTTTATCCTATAAATTCTGCTGATTCTCTTACCTCTGCTAACCCTTCTGTTCAGACACCTTAGTTTTGATATATTTGCCCTCTGCTGCTCGTACACCAGAACAAACTTCGCCGGAGCTGACCGTCGGCTCTCTTTCCACAGCCTTATTTGCCACGTCAAAAAGCGATCTACACACATTTGAGTGAACTGTCCGTAATTCTCGGGATACTCTTCTAAGGAGTACAACATTGTATACCAAATAAATCAACAAAAAAGACAAAAAGAAAAGGAGGGACGAAATAAGGTACCAGAAAACAAGTTCACCACAATAGCTATCCCACTGCAAAAGCATATTCCTCTATGCCATAAAATATTTTCTGGTACCAAATATATAACAAAACTGGCCCGCGTGTAAGGACGAAGATTCCCCATTCAAAATAATTCAAATGCATTTATTTTCCAGCATTCGCTTTATGTCTATCATTCTGCAAAAATATTTTCTTTACAGCTACGCAAACCACCAGAAGAGCGACACGTGTATAGCACTATCTGGCAAAGGAATCAAAAGTACTCACACCACTCACACCTGGACCCGGGTGTGACTTCCTTTTTACTACATCCATACACGTGTTCATAAGTACAACAATGGACGGCTCAGATCAGCGGGAGGGAGGGGCGCTGGTAATATTAATACAGCGCCTCCCCAGTCACACCACTCACACCAGGTTTTTTAACTAATAGGGAGGCCTTGTACGGCTGGTATGAGTTCACTGTTTACCACTACAAAATGCCTCGCCAAACCTCTTTCCGTTTTTATGCCAACAATGTTTTCCTCACTTACCCACAATGCGCATGCCCAAAAAAACAACTCCTAGAACTCCTACAATCTCTCCTCCAACTAGCCTGTCAGCCATACTACATACTTGTCGCAAGGGAGCTCCATGAAGATGAAAACCCTCACCTTCATGCCATGGTTCAATGCACAAAGAAGATCCAAACCTCAAACCCGAGAATTTTCGATCTCACTGGAACCAACGGGAGGATTTACCATCCAAATATAGAAAAACTCCACTCCCCAATAGCAAGTAGACAATATATACAGAAAGAGGGCGAGTTCGTCGAATGGGGAGAATTTTCAACTAAGGGAAAAAGTCCTTCGAAAAACAGAGACGAATTTTGGAGGGGAATTCAAAATCCCTGCTAAATTTGCCACCCCATCAATAAAGGGGCAAAATCGTCACCAAATTCCATACCACGTTTCCCTAGAGGACCTGCTAGATCACATTTCCCCATAATAGGACTTCATGGTTCATTAAAAAAAACGAGGGACCATTCAGATCAACACTCTCCTAAATGGGACTTTCCAATAATTTTCCCTTTAAAAAGATGTATTTATAATTTACCCTTTATATTTGTACTAGGCATAGTTTTTCACTTGCATCGGGCACGATTTTCACTTGCATAGGTAGAGTCCATATTTATTGGTAGGCAATACATGTTGAAGATGAATGATTTGCGCTAAGGTTATGTTTGGGATGTTAGTTTGAGATCATTTTAGTCATAAAAAATAAAATATATTAAAAAATTAATAAAATAAAATATTACATTCAAATCATAATCATCTCATTTTCTCTTTTACAAAAGTCAAAAAGTCAAAAAATCCATTCTAAACGAGATTTTTTAGCCCCAGGTTAAAATAATCAAAAAATTAAAAAAAACAACTCACATTCCAAACGAAAGCTAAGAGTAGTTGCAATTTTTTAGTGGGAAACGGAGACGCTAACATTGTATTTAGTTGAGAAATTTTGAAAGAGATTTAAAAAAAATAAAAAATAAAAAAATAAAACATATTTAAAATTTACTTAATTTTATATATATATTTTTTCCCTTTTACAAGTTTATTCTCAAATCTTTTAACCACATATAGTGTAAAAGATTTAGACAAGAGTGGCAGAAGGGCTAGAGTGACAATTGCATGGTGGTCCACATTGCGTCCACACATGAAAAGAAAAGAAAGGAGAAAAATATGGAACTGCAAAATCCATGCATTAGGTATTTTTTCCATCCCATGTACTGAAATTTTTCATAAAGTTCCCAATAAAATTTTCATTTCTCAAATTTTTGATATCTTCCCCCTTTTGCTTGGGTTGTTGTGTAATTTACATTTTTTCAATAAAACTTCATTTTTTTAATCCTTGAAGAACTTTTTACAATAAGCCCCAAAATTAAATAAACATTTCAAAAGTATAAAAAAAATTAAAAATATTTACTGAAGAATTACAACTAAAGACAAGAAAATAAAAAAACAAAAATGCTTCGGACCCCACTGGAGGTCGACCCCTAGTGAAGTGGTGCGCGGTAATTAGGTAAAAAAAAACTATTTTATTTATTTATTTATTTATTTTGAGTTTCTACCAGTGGGAGCACGCCATTTCACTGGGGTGCAACCCCACTGGGGATCTGCAGCATCATTGATAAAAAAAATAAAAAATAAAAAGCTGCCAAATGAATTCCTATCCCAAACGGGGCAAACAGAAGTACCAATCACCAATTATTTATTTATCCAAAAAAAAAACAACACTTGTTGAAGAAGCAGCTAGCTAGCTGTCAATGTCCAAGGGGACAAGGTTAATTTGGTCATTTGGCAACACATTCTGTCGGTATCTAACCGAACCCTGGTCAGGTTAACCAGAGTCCGGGGTTAGTACGGACCGCTCATGAGCTTCAGGAGAGGAGCGTCGGTGGCTCTGCTGGTCTTGACCGTGAGTTAACTTATTGACAGAGAAAATAAAATAGATGCGCGGTAATTAGGTAAAAAAAAACTGTTTTATTTTATTTTATTTTTTTTTTTAAGTTTCTGCTAGTGGGAGTACGCCACCTCACTGGAGCGCGACCCCACTAGGGATCTGCAGCATCATTGATAAAAAAAATAAAAAATAAAAAGCTGCCAAATGAATTCCTATCCCAAACGGGGCAAACAGAAGTACCAATCACCAATTATTTATTTATCCAAAAAAAAAACAACACTTGTTGAAGAAGCAGCTAGCTAGCTGTCAATGTCCAAGGGGACAAGGTTAATTTGGTCATTTGGCAACACATTCTGTCGGTATCTAACCGAACCCTGGTCAGGTTAACCACAGTCCGGGGTTAGTACGGACCGCTCATGAGCTTCAGGAGAGGAGCGTCGGTGGCTCTGCTGGTCTTGACCGTGAGTTAACTTATTGACAGAGAAAATAAAATAGAAAGAGACAGAGAAAGTGAGAGAAAATAAGAGACAGACACAGATAGATATATGTACATACATGCATACATACAAATATATATACGCAAATCTAGAGAGAGAAAGATAAGTAGATTCGTATATAAGCCAATGGAAGCCAAATCCAATGCTTCTCAAATTTAACACAGAGAGAGAGACAGACAGACAGACAGAGTGAGAGAGAGAAGGAGAAGCCTCTGCCAATGGCGGATTCAAGCGACTCTGTTTCCGTTGACATGGACATTCTCTTTCATGGTGGAAAGGTTAGTCTTTGTGGAAATAATGTATATTGTTTGTTTGAGTTACATTCGCTTCATATGATTTTGATATTTCGAATAATTTGTGTTTATAGAGGTGTGATTTGGGAATCATTTGGTTTGTTTTTGATTGATTATTGAATGACATAATTAAATTTTATTTTTTATTTTTTTATATTCTGTTTTGGTAGGTAGGTTGAACTTAATTTCGCAACAATTTTGTTGTTGTTGAAGTGTCATTAATTAATTGCAGTTTCATATATTGAGTTTTTATGTGTTGATTCGAATTGAATTTCAAATTGAACATTTACAGAGTGATGTCTTTGATTGGGAATGAATGCATTTGAAGACTTTAGTTAGACTTTGCTGTTGGGTTATTGTTGTTCTAACTTTAATTAATGCTTTATATATATATATATATATATTGATAATTTTGTGGGTCTGATACATTTGGACTTGAATGTTTGATTGATTATCTTGGATGTGTTATTTATTGTTTGAGTCCATTTTTTTTCATGTTTACTTATTGGAAATACTTTCGAGTGTGCAAGATCATATTTTTGCTTTTAGAGGATTAGATTAGAGGATTATAGTCCATTTGTTTTTCATGTATAAAAGCATACAATTTTTAATTTCTTTTTTCACTTTCTTTCTTTTCTAAAGAATATATTGAAGTCAATTAGTTGTTTTAAGTGGACTAGTGAGTTCTAATAAAGCTTTCTCTGTGGATGCAAAATTCCTTTTTGGAAAGAAATATGCTTAACTTGGGTGTTCCTTAAATTGATTTTGTGAAGTAAAGGATTCCCAGAAAGTGTGGACCCTTTAGGTTTTGCTTTTATTGAGTAATACATGATTATAGCATTTTCAAATTTTTTGGCATATTGTATTGTATTCCCTGAGTTGGGACTTTTGATATGCTATTTACTTTCCTTTTTGATTGTTTTTCATTGCTGTACATAAGGTTGTTTATGTGATTATTTGAATTTTCTAATCCGACTTCAGGAACACCTCATAAAAACTGGCTGTGGTTCGGTGTCTGTTACTGTGTTTGGAGATCCAGACAAGCCAGCTCTTGTTACTTATCCTGATGTAGCATTGAATCGTAAGCACAGACCAAATACCATGTTTAATCAATTGTTACAGTTATTATCATCATGAAAGTAACAATAGTTTCTGAAATTATTTTGAGAAGATTGACCAAACCAAGCTGTCCAAATATTTGGAAAGTTATATTCAAAAGTAATTAAGAACTTTTTTTGGTCAAAGCTTAAAAGAAATTTGAATGTTTGAACTTGTTTGAATTTGCTTGCATGGAACCATGGTCTTTTTCTGATGCTTCATTGCTTAAAGTAACTTCCCTCTTGTTTTTGTGCATGTCTTGAGCAGATGTGTCTTGCTTTCAAGGGTTGTTCTTTTGTCCAGATGTATTTTCCTTGCTGCTACACAACTTCTGCATTTACCATATTAGTCCTCCTGGGCATGAGGTCTGTAACTCAGCAACTTGACTGCTGATCTTGGTTGTACTCCTAATTTTTTTCTTGTTTTTGTTCTGCTTGTGGTTCTTCATAGTGATGAATGCCCTATTATTGGCATTGTTTCTTATCTGGTACTTTCTTCAAGAGCTGTTGCAGTTAGGTGCGGCTGTGATTAAGCATGATGACCCATTGTTATCTGTGGATGACTTAGCAGATCAGATTGCTGAGGTTCTTGATTATTTTGGGTAATTGTAGTGTTACAGCCTTCTCTTTTTAATGCCTCTTTGAGTTATAGCTTACTCGGAACTTTCTTTGTCTTGTCATAGAATTTGTCTTCATGTGACAATCAGTTGATCTTTATATATAATTGGAAGCAAACTGATTTTCTTTTATTTGCAATTTTCATTTCCTTTTAGACTCGGTGCAGTGATGTGCATGGGGGTGACTGCTGGAGCTTATATCCTAACCTTGTTTGCTGTAAGACACACCTTTTATATAGCCTGCTTAATTTTCTATGTTTTGGCTTCTAGTTTTTATATTTTTGGGGTGGATTGATATGGTTATTAACAATTTGGTCACAGATCAAATATAAACAACGGGTTCTTGGTTTGATACTCGTCTCTCCTCTATGCAAAGCACCATCGTGGACAGAATGGTTGTATAACAAGGTTCATTTTCTGAAGTTTTATGTCATTTGTATGAGAAAAATTCTTATTCTTGCCTAAGATAGTATATCCTTTGCAGGTGATGTCAAATTTACTTCACTTTTATGGCATGTGTAGCCTGGTGAAGGAGTTATTGCTTATGCGATACTTCAGCAAGGTATTGTTGTTTATCCAGTTTATCTCATTGGCATTAGTGTTTCCGGAGTTTTGGATGGGTCAATTGGATTTTATATGATATTTATAGGAAGTTCGTGGTAATTTGGAAGTACCAGAATCAGATATAGTTCAATCATGCAGAAGAGTAAGTGCTTCAGGTCCCCCCCACCTGTTCAAATTTTTCAATATGCTTCTTTATGTTAGTAACATGGTAAAAAAGGATATTACCCAGTTAGCAAGAGGTTGGTATTTCTCTGATTTCTGCTATGAATGTTCTTTTTTGTAGTTGCTGGATGAGAGGCAAAGTCCAAATGTTTTGCGGTTTCTTGAAGCTATTAATGAGTAAGATCTGTCTCCATTGAAGTTTTTTATTTTTCACTTTTAAAGGACAATTGTGAGGGAGAGAAAGGATTTGCACGTTGTTTTGGGATGGTTTTACATATTCTCCAAAAATCTAGTGTCATAATGTTACTGCCCTAGGCTTCAAGATAGTGAGCCTTGTAGAAGTTCTCTTCCATGGAACACATAGTTGTCCACAACTTTTGATTTGAATGTCATTTTGTCTGGCAGGAGACCAGACATCACTGAAGGGCTGAAGAAACTACAATGCCGGTCTTTAATATTTGTCGGGGAAAACTCTTCTTTCCATGCAGAGGCTCTACACATGACTTCAAAACTAGATAGAAGATATAGTGCATTAGTTGAGGTATGTGCATTAGAGGCGTTTCAACAATCTGATTATAAAGTTAATCTTGCATATGCTTCAAGACAGTTTACTTAGTCATGGTGTGTGGTTCTACAGGTTCAGGCGTGTGGGTCGATGGTGACGGAAGAGCAACCCCAAGCCATGTGGATACCTGTGGAATACTTCCTCATGGGATACGGCTTTTACCGGCCATCCCCATCTCAGTTCAATGTCAGCCCGAGAAGCCCATTGAGTCCAACCTCCCTCTCTCCAGAGCTTTTCTCACCAGAGAGCATGGGCTTGAAGCTAAAACCGATAAAAACACGAATCTCCATCGAAGTTTGAATGAAGGTAAAAATGTAGGAGCAAGATTTTGTTTTCTATATATCAAGAAAGAGTTTGTATTTTCACTTGTTTGGATGGGCAGTGTGGAGGAAATTACTGGAGGATTGTAGATAAGAAACAAAAGAGAGGTAGAAAGCATAAGTTGATAATAAAAAAAAGAGGGGTTTGTATTCTTTCATTTGTAGTCATAAGGTTGTGTTTGGATCTTTGATTTGTGCGGAAAAAAGAAAAGAGAAGAAAAATTAGCGTAAGTTAATTATTTTCTTTTTCTCTATAAATTTAAGATCTGGACACTGTATAGATGTTAGTTAAGGACTGTGTTATGTGTACATCCTCGAAATAATTTAATAAGAAAACAATATTTAATAAGAGGTAGTAGGTGAACTTTTGGTTTCTCATGAGTTGTTGAATCCATGTCTTGTTGAATACGTCTTATTGTTTATTTTCCCAATTTAATCGCAATATCTTTGTTGTGAAGGTCAAGTGAGTTGTTAGGTATCTGTTGAACTGGCAAAAAGCTTTAAGTTGGAGTCTTCGAATGTTGAACACAAAGCATATGGAATTGAAGTTGACATTGAAAATGGTTTATTTTATTATTGACAACTAACTTAGTGACAATATCAATATTATTATTAGCAAATGAGAATAACAATGATTACATGATCTTTTTCCGGGGATTAAAAATGAAAGTGAGGGGCCAACTGGGATTTTGTCTCGTGGGCATTGGCAACCCCTAGCCTAGGTTTTGTAACAAATTTGTCCTCTTGGATGGTTGGGATATGTTTTAAATGAAGAAATTATTGCTTCATTTTATTTGCTAGAATGTTGTTGTGCACTTTGTTTCTTAAAACTCACAAAACTCATAGGTCATGTTTGTTTGGGTGGATATGAGTTTGGGATTAGACTAATAGTTCAATAAAATTATTAACCCGATGTTTGGTTAAACAATTGAAGTACGGACTAATTATTTTAAACTTGACTTTTAGTTAAGATAGGATACATAGTCCAACGGATTTGTAATCCCAGGATTATTAGTCATGGGAATGCTAATCCAGTCCGCCCAAACAAACATGGCCATAGGGTGTGTTTGTTTTGCAAGATTAGAGAGTGAGATTGGACTATTAGTTCTACTGGACTAATAGTCTATTGTTTGTTTCATTTTTTTTGTTCCGGACTATTAGTCCCACAAATATGGGACTATCTTATCCCATGGGGGGAGGTGGGATAGAAATCATGGGATTATTTTGTGAAATGTCTATTTTACCTTCCATGTTATTACTTAGCAAACAATTAGAAAATGATAAAATAGTCTTTTGAACATTTATAAATTATTTTTTGTGTTGTTAATTTAAAATTATATATTAAATAAAAAATATAAATTATAAATTAAATTTAATTAAAAATTATGGCCTTATAAATTAAATTTGTTTAGTGTTGTTAAAAACAAAAAAATTTGAATAGATATGTCATGGTTCATAACATTTTTGTAATAATAATAATAAAAGTAAATTACTAAAAAGATGTAAGTTGATAAAATTATTACATATGCATGAAAAAATTTATAATTTTAATTATTAATATTAATATAATTTATTATTAATTTATAATTATTTTCAAAATTATATCCTGATATTATTCTTATGTTGTATAATTTGTTACAGAAGTGATGGTCCAAAGACATGTCTTTCATATGCATCGATCTATATCCCAATTTCGTATGCATCTATCTATTTTCCAAGTTGTATTATGAACAAAGGTCAATGGATCCATGACAAACAGAGGACCACAAAGTGGTCAAACAGAGGCCAATGGTTATTTAAGTCCCCCAAGGCATGGCACTCCCGTGGTGGTACTTACAAAACATAATTGTTTATAAAGTTATAGTCAAATATTCTTTAAAATATAAACAAACATATCCATGGGTTTCAATTTAACAAACAGAGTTCAAAAATTAATCCACGTAACTGAAAATTTATAAAGCATAACTTGAATTAATATAACTTATAAAATATAACTTGTATAAAATAAATTGTGGTAAGTCAAAATATACGTGAAATATATTATGGTACCTCAAGGTATAATATAACTCACCTTAATATTGACCCTTAACCTTACTTCACTATCACAACCATCCTACTATAACCTTAGGCCCCGTTTGTTTTCAGAGGTAGAATGGAGAGGATTGATAGTGAGAGAATTAATAGTGAGTGGACTGTTAGTGAGGGGATTGATAGTGAGGGAATTAAGTAAAACTGTGTTTGTTTTGATAATAGTTGTTAGTGTAGGGATTGTTAAATTATTTTTATATAAAATAAATATGAAATAATAAAAAAAATAAATAAAAAATACAAAAACATTAAACATTAATGTTTTAAAAAAAATGCCCAACGTGTAAAAAATAAAATATCTATAAAAATAAAATAAAATAATTTTATTTTTAAATTGAGACATTTAAATTTTATTGAATTTTATTAAATATAATACATAATTAAATAGTAGAGAGTCAAAATGATCATTTCACCACCTAATTCCATATCTCCCTTATCCCTCAATTTGTGTCTTACTCCCCCATGAGATACAATAGTCCAATGGATTCATTTAATTTGTTTTAGATTGTTGTATCAAGTTTGTGCATATTTCTCTTATATTTTTATTGAGGTTCATTTTGGATTATTTTAATATGTGGGCTGTTTATATTCCATAAGTTTGGATAGTATTGATTACGGTTAGTTTTGCCGTTTATAATTGTGGCATGTCACTAGATTGAGTTTTGATTATTTATCACTGGACTATTGTATAGTTATTCAATATGTTTATAATTCGTGTTTAAGCTTACGTGTGCCTTGGGCTAAGGCCCTGTGGGCCACGTTCGGTCATACCCGGATTTGGAGTGTGACAATTGAGTCCGGTGCCAAAATTTTGAATCAAATAACGGATTATTAGTTCGGATGGACTAATAGTCCAATCCCACCCCTCAATCCCTCAAAATAGACACCACCTTAGGGTATGTTTGATTGACAAGATTAGAGCATGGATGTTTGTTTTGAAATTTTGTTTCAAGATTATTAATCCAATGAATAATTAATCCAACAAATTTGTAAGATTATTAATAATGAGGTAGAGGTAGGATTATAAATTATGAACTGGGAAATAAAATAAAGACTGTTTTATCTTTGACTAAAAATTAAAACACTTATTATTTTTACATAATTTTATATTTTAGAAAGCTAAAATAATTTTTTTAAATTTAAAAATATTTTTTGATATTTATTTTATCAAATTAATTTATATTTAAAAAAAATTAAAAAACAAACCAAACATGGCCTTTGTATTTTGTATTTTTATTTTGCTTTTATTTATAATTTTTTTTCAAAACACGTTTATGAAGAAATTTTGATAAAGTAAATATTGTGAAAAAACATTGATGGAGGGTAAAATTGGAAAAGAAAATAAATATAGTTGTAATCCTACATTCTTGTTTTCTTATCTAATGCAAATTAAACAATGAATAAGGAAATAATTTATCATACTAATTCAATTGGATAGTGAATGTCACCCTAATTTGATGGGATTATTAATACTTTCACTATTAGTCTTGTGAATCAAACATGGCCTTAATATAAAAGAAATGAATTTTTTAGTTTAAATCTGTTTTCGTTTGAGAAGTGAGTTAACTTTTAGATTTTTGATTATTTAAGTCTGGGTTAAAAAGCCTCGTTTGGGATGGATTTTTTGGCTGCCTCATTTGGGATAGATTTTTTGATTTTTTTGACTTTTGTGGAAAAAAAAATAAAATGATTATGATTTAGATATGATATTTTATCTTATTGATTTTTTAATCTATTTTATCTTGTTTTGACTAAAATAGCCTTCGACTCATGTGCCAAACCTAGCCTCAATAACTATTAGGCACTGTTTGTTTCACTGGATATAAAATGGAGGATATAATATGATGTGAGATTTAGTCAGGATATATAATGAATAGGATATAAATATTGGATAATATATCCCCAATTCGTGTTTGTTGACTTGATATATAAGATTGGATATATATTATCCATGTTTGTTTTACAAAATATATTGTAGGATATAAACAAGTAATTTCCAAGATTGCCCTCATAATATTATATTAAATAATATTATATTATATTAAATTCAAAATTTATATTAAATTATATATTAAATTAAATTCAATAATATTATATTATATTAAATTCAAAATTTGTATTAAATTATATTAAATTAAATTAAATTAAATTAAATAATATTATATTAAATTCAATTCAATAATATTAAATTAAATTCAATAATTATATTATATTAAATTCAAAAAATATATTAAATTATATTATGTTAGATAGACAAAAGGGTAAATTGACTTTTTAAATCATATCCCAACCAAGGGAATATGAAATAATGGGGGTGGTGGTATTGTATATCCTCCACTTTTGAAGGGTATACAATCTCATGGGATATTATATCCTCTTTGAAAAAAAATTACAAACATGGGATATATGGATCCCACAAGATATAATATCTAATTCCACCCTTTATATTCTGGAATCAAACAAGGCCTTAATTTAGAATATTACCTGAATTTGCTTTTGGAGTGAACAATTTTTCTCTCTCTTGAAAGAGTCCAATTTGTTTTTTATAGTACCGGATTAGTAAGAGACATTATATATGTGGTAATTTCAATTAATGAAAAATTTTACAGGTAAGACAATGCTGATTTATTTTTGTTAATTAATTGAGAGATAAAAGGTGGTTCACCTAATGTGGTTTGAAGTTTGAAAAAAAATTATACGAACGAAAAAAATAATTTTATTATTTCTTTTATATTGAAATATATATGTACTTCACCATTGATTATTCCTGTGTTCACCTCTCATTTATAGTAGTTTTGATTTATCTTATTAAAATATAGTTTATTATAAACATACTTAAAAATCTTATTATAAACAAATTAATGATTGTATTTGATTAGTCAGGGATGATAATTGGAAGTTTGTTGATAAAGAAAGAACAACTACTAATATTAATAATAAAAAAAACAAAAATGACTTAGACGCCGAGCTGGGTGCTGGGGGTCGGCTCCTATTGGACAAAAAAAAGCTTTTTTTTTTTTTTTTTTGATTTTCGGCCAATCCCAACGCACCATGTCACTAGGGGTTGACCCTCACTAGAGGTCTGAAGCACCGCCCTAAAAAAAAAGGGGACAACTTTAGAGGAAAAGGAAGATTTGGTTATGCATTTTGTTTTATAATTATAATAATAGGCTGTTGATTACGGTTGTCCTATGCATATATCCTTTTTTTAATTAATTAATTTATATATTTGATCTCTTATTTACTTTAGTCAATTGTTCTAATTAAGAGGTTATCGATATTTGATCAATATAATTTTTTACAAACATAAAATACTCAACAAGTTTTACACATTAACAGTTTATATTATTGAGACTCGGCAGTATGTTTCAGTTCACAGTGGACTGAAGATAAGCCATCTCTCATATATAATTTATGAAAAGGCCCTTCAAAACTTTGAAAAGTGTTCTGAAGGAATTGGAAGCATGCAGAGCTGGCATATTTGTGGGACAATATGTGAATATTGATTTATTGACTCATTTAAAGTGCTTTGAAGGAATTGGAAGAGCATGTAGAGCTGGCATATTTGTGGGACAATATGTGAATATTGATTTATTGACTCATTTGCTAATTGGAACATGGGTAGGTGTATTGCAACGTGGGTAAAGAAAATCTAAATGTTAGGTAGAAAATTTAAATTCATATGTTCGGTAGAAAACTTAAATTCATATGGTATGTTATAATGAAAAAAAATAAAAAATTATTTAATTTAAGTAAGTATATATTTGTTGATAGATTGACTGAAAAAAAATTCATGTATCAAAATGTAATTACGAAGTAATTTTGAAGTTAGGTACGTAATACTCTCAGTAAGTATAATTTTGTAAAATAGTGGATTATTTTTTATTTCTCAATAAGCAAAGGTAAATCAATTTTCTTATGCTCATAATTTGTTGAATATGTCTCTAATTAAGAACACCATGTGAACAATATCAAATTGTAATTATTGAATAATTGCCTTAGACCAACAAGGGTTGGTTTAGTTGGTAAGGCTCCTTCCCTTCGCCCATTTGACTTAAGTTCGAGTCCCGCTGCCGGCAGTCCTTTGTTGGTGGACAATATTGCGTAACGCTTTCCCTGGCCCTAGAATGGGGTAGCCTCCCCTCCTCCTAAACTTTTTTTTTGAATCAAAAAAAATAATAATTGCCTTAGGGAGCCACTATAGAATAATTTTTGTATGTAATGCATTGTAAATTCTTGTACTTTATAAAAGAATGTTTTATATTTTAAAAGAAATGTGGGTATAAAGGAAAATTTAATGAGTGCATCTAGAAGCTCCTCTTTTATTCCTCTTTCTTTCAAAGATACACAGCATTGTGCTTGACTAAAATAAGCTTGTGAAAGGGGCGATGAGCCTCAAAAGTTGTTATGATTTGGTGTACTTATCTGTTGGTTGAATTCAATACTTGATAGCTGTCACAGTTGGCATTCTATTCTTTGCTTTTTTGGTGTTTAAGAATTCTTTGTTTAAGCCATCAAAATACCTACCATTCACAAACTTTTAATTTGAGATTTTTGATTTCTTTATTATGTTATGAATACCTTTCATACATGTTTAGATATGACATTAAACAAACCTATAATCCAAAGAAAATAGATTCAGGCTAGTCATGTTATACCCAAGCCCTGTGTTTTTAATCCAAGATTTGGAACATATTTGCTGCATTTTTCTGAAGCCAAAAGTTGTTAATCAAAAAACATGAACAGGCCTTTAACTCTTTTGGCATTTTGAGGCCTAACTTATAGTTTACATCAAGTATATGCTCGATTTTGTGAAGTTGATTTTCGGTGCAAAATCCAATAACACAACACTACTACTATGCAATTTACTTAAAATTATGATTCAAATTTAGATAAAATACTCGTCCTTGAATAACAAATAATTACCAGATTTTACCACTTAATGCCTAATTATATAGAGCATATACAGTTGAAACCATGTTTTGAACATCTATTTCCCCCTATTGAATGTTCAAGAAATTCTCAGTTCCATTTTTCAATATATCTACCTTTTTGCAGTGTTACTTCATATTAAATCTTCGGTGGCTGCCGATGCTTACAAGGCTTCTATGGTTGCTGTCTGTTTCTTCATCAGACCTCCGGCCTTTTCTCCTATTCATCTCAGCATACATTTCCTCTATCATTGGTTTCCAGAGCCGAACTCGAGCATTTATGAACCAATTGGACACCTGCTCATAACCCATACAGCAAAATGAGATTAGAATATGGAAGCTGGAAACTAATTAATTGAACTTCGCATATGCTCAAGTTCAAATTGGAAAGGTGTCAACCAGGTGTCACTGAACAACTTTGGATGAGTGTCACGCACGTCTCGGGAAATGTCTAGCAAGAATTGGTGTTTGACAGACATTCTCAGCACAAAATTCTCACAAAAATTTAACTTCAGAATCAAATTAATATTAATCTAATTAAATTAAAAGTTTATGAACCTGGCTCCTTGTCAATCCACTTTTCACTGCAAGCAAATGTTTCTCTGCGTCTTTAGGATACCTGAAAAACCCACAAAATTCATCATGCAAATTAAGTCTATTCAAGGATGAAAGATAATCAAAGATTTCTTGTTCCCAATGCGAGTTTTGTGTAAGCACCCCTCCCACAACATCAAGATAATTAGTCCTTTTCAATTTATTTAAGTTATTTTCCCACACAAGAATTAAGCAGAACGCAGAAGCTATTGCAAACAGTCCTGTACAGAATCCCAAAACAAATAAATAAATCATAACCCCCCATTAAAGCTGTAGCAAACAACACCACCCCAAGTATGAAGAACTAACAGGTTTGACACATTTGACCATTGACACCGTAATAAACAGAGGATAAAGCAACGAATTAGCTATCGCAAGAAGCAAGAATTTGAAAAAATTAACTCAAAATATAAGCTACTGTCAACAACAGAAGAAAGAAGAAAATGATGCATGCGTTGTCAGTATAGAATTGTTTGAAATAATTCAGAAATGTTTTGCTAATTGATCCAAATCCAAACAAATTAGCATTTATTGAATCTTTATGCACAAATGTCTACTACATTCTAGTGTGATAACTTACGGGTGAAGAAAATTCTGAAACATCCATGCTCGTAAAACGGAGACAGATCTTTCTGGCAAGCCTCTCTGGGGCCTCCATAACTGATGATCTTTACTTCGTAGCTGCTGGAGAGCCCATTGCTTCTGAATGAAAGATGTCTCAAAAGACTTATCTGCTTCCCTAGCATCATCTCCTTTGTTGAAATACATTCCCGCTGTAATGATTTGGTTGCTAATTCTCTCCTTAAGGTTCTTATACAAGGAGGAGATTGATTGTAAAGCAAAACGAGCATGTAAGTGGGGATCCAACTCAGTTGCAGCATGGAAGGCAGATATTACTGTATGGATTTCATCCAAGCATTGGTTGTATCGCTCATCAACCTAAGTTCAGATGAGTATGAATCACATTCACCAACATAGTCTTAAGTTGCAAGGCACACAGTCCAGATGATAAATATAGACAAGAAAAGAAAAATAAAACACCAGGCAAACTCAATGAATCAAAGTTTGTGGAATTTTGGAAGTAAATTGTCTACCTTGGTTCTGGAAGAAAGAACATGAACAAGATTGTTCAATCAGGTTAACTTGGTCAAGTACATCTCTACTATCGAAACAAAGTTCTAAGATTTTATTAAGAATATTTAAAATTACACTATTTTTACACCGACATCCCTTTTAGTAAGGCTAATGTGATCAAAGCTAATGCAGATGGTAAAACACAAGATAAACAAGGTAAAATCTGCACTTAAAAAGGACGACAATTTCATTTTTTTTCATCCATAGGACTAACGAATTATTGATGAAAATGGCGTTTTAAGTCTGATGTGCATTAAAATCTTTAAGGAACCCAATGTGATAGTGCCAAACTTGTGAGGCTCAATGTGTTTTCTCCAAACCTCAAGGAAGGTTAGTGTAATTACCCTAAATAGAAAGGTTAGGACAATATAGTACATAAGCATCATACTATATCAACATACCACTTGAAGTAGAGCCAACAAATGCTTTTTCTTTGCTTCAACGTCCTGTCCTTGAACAACAGGTTCCATTTGACCCTCAAATCTATCATCTCCATCAGAACCCATCACTGTGTAGCCTCTGCCAGCAAGGCAACTTGAAGAGAATGAAAATTTCGCCCCAGTACCAATCCCACTAGCAGGATAGTTTATCTGGTCCAGATTTTCAAGTGAATAACTTGCAATTTCAGCAAGTATTTCTTGAATTACACGAAGATATCTAGATCCAGATAAAAATTGCGAAACTTGGACTGATCTACAAGAACCAAAACTCAGAGAAAGATTCTTACTGTTGCAAGATGTTTCTGAGCCAAATGGCATTTCATTCAGAGAACGGTGAGTAACAGAGGAACAGCTTATTTCTGAACATTGATCAGGAATACTTGTTCCATGAATAATAGAAGGCTGGCACGTGGCAAGACTTAGTGAGAGCTCATTTCTAAATTCCGAGGAGCCAGAAGGATTATCAGGGCTCACATTGTCCAACGATATCCACCCGTTAGGATTAATGTTTCCCATTAATTGGAACGGCTGAAACCCTGTTCTTCCGGGGACTTTCCCAGAAAGCTCTGGAGAAGCAAGACACTTGTCGAAATCCCATTTATTGTTCACACCGCCAAGTATTCCGTCATATCCACAGTTCATAGAGGTTGCAAATGCAGAATTTAATGCATTGGAGTAGTCGTTTGAAATAGAAGTTTTTAAAATCTCAAGAGGATTTACAGAAGGTGCAGAAGTTGCTAATTCATTCAGGTTATCATGAGGATCACACCGTGGAGCCAAAAGGGTAGCTAGTGACGCGACAGAAATGGGCTCTCCACCCATGAATCGCCCCAAAGCCTCCGTGTTACTGATTGGACATGAGCTGGTGAGTGAATTATCTGTAATGGTGTTTCTTCCAAGTGATGGATTCCCAGGAATCAATGCATCACAACCAACATGGCCAACATGATTTGATATAGTGAAACCAGTGTGGAGATTGTTTGTGCATTCGCCTTGCAACATTGGAAGTGCAGGAAATTCAGCCATTAGCTGGTTTTGGTTGTTCGGATCAAGTGAATTGGGCTGAGCAGGGGAAACTGAGCTCATATGTGAGAACATTCCATCCATAAAAATAGCGTTGCGGTCACCCATATCCATTGGCACATTGAATGCATCATTCTCAGTCATATTATGGGGAGCGGAGGAATCAAAGTGCATTATGCATAAGCAACCTCAACATCATTTTCAAGGTTCTATGCTACTTACTGCGCTTATGACACCAGTTTTGCAACCAAAAAACAGTGTTTCCCACCTCTTATGGGAGATCTCTCAACAAAATCAAGAAAATGATCGGCAGAGGATCACTAATAAGCCAATGAAAATGTTGCACTGCTATTGATTGCCATCACCTGAAGAGTTCCAAAAGCAATTTTTCGGTACACCATCACACACGTCAAAATATTTTGAAGAAAACAGAGAAATAAACTTCAGAATAACTCCAAACTGAATTAGTTATCATGATATGGAAATTATTTCTGTTGAGAAACTTGTATGGAAAACTATATTTATATTATCCAACATCCCATCATAACTGAAGTGTCAAGTGCACTTTTTAGGTGGTCAATAGGGAACTTGATTTGGAATAAGAGTAGAAAATGATAAAGACATGTTAGCCAGGATGCAAAACCAGGAATCAGGATTAGTAGCATCACAACTTGCTGTCATAAATAATGCTACAAACTCAGAAACTTTCCACAGAAAGTACACAGGCTACATTCATCCTAATCGATTGCTGGTCTTGTCCAAAAAGAATGCAACATTGCATTCTGTGCCCTTTTTTGAAAAAAAATCCATGTTCCTAAATTTAAGTAAGTGTATTCATACCCAAAAAGAGGCTAAAACCATGTTTGACAACAAAATCTAGTACTAATTAGTAATTATGCAATTTGGAATAGACGTACACTCGACTAAGAACAATGCACATGAACTTTTAAACTGCATACAATAGAAAGGAAAGGAAAGGAAACATAAATTCATGTCGAAAAAACAACATCAAATTGATGTTCAAAATCAGACAAAGTTACTATACTGTAGAGTCCCCAGGACACTACCGTAATCAAAAACTGAATTTTTGTTAGCCAACCACATGCATAAAGTGGCATCCCAGGAATCATTATTGACATGCACCATGACCAGGACTCTCAATTTTTTCTTGACACCCCGTTATTTTTATTAAAACACCTGTTGTAAATGTCCGTGTTATTGTTACTTAAATGTGTTTTGGTTGCTGTGTCAAAACATTGAGTACCAACTCTCATGTTTCTTTGTCCAAGTTATATTAAAAACCAATAAAGATTTTTAATCCAGAGGGACTAAAAAGGGTGAGGTTTTGCCCAAAAAACAAAATCAAAATAAAAGAACAAAAGACAGCAAAAAAGAAGGAAAAAAAAAATGGTAATGGTACACAAACCAAAACTTCTATACAAAATGATGTCACTCCTTGTGATCATTTAATTTCCAGTTAAAACACCCACCGTTGCCTTTGTAATTTAAAAAATGTCACGAACACATCATTTTGGATGTACTTTTTGTTTAAGTTTTCTAATGCAAAACATTTTCCAAATATATATATATACAGAGGTTATGTCAATTACAACCTTTTGGAAGCCACCCTTCTGAGAGCTGTTCAAGGTTCATGGTAGTGGAAATCATAATCTTCATAATTGGAAATGCATTCTAATCAATACAGTTGGTTCAATCTAGTATGCAGTGGACAATAGAACCATGGTTAAGCAAGAACAACTACATAATGGCACCACTACAAGCTAACAAAGACTAAAACCACAAAAACTACATCACTTTGGAAGAACACAAATTAGAAGTAGAACACAGACATCAACAGAGAAATGTTGACACTAGAAAAGAGTAAGAGAGGCAAACATGAGAAAGTAACCAACCTGACAATCACTTGTAGTTGAAAGAAATCACCCACCACCAACACAACAATCTCTGAAAATGCATCGTCCTCCACCAAGCTATGTCAAAAAAAATAAAAAATTAATAAGAACAATAATCTGATCAATAATTTCTTTTCAGATTCAATAGATTTACCCAATCAGTAAAAAAAGACAAAGTGACTTGCTTTTAGTGATGGACACTATATATGTGGGTTTCCTCATAGAACCCAAAACAAACAAATGGAGTGCAAAGTTCACAAAGAGGCACTGTTTTTCTTCTTTTAACAAAAAAGAAACAAAGGTGAAAAAGCTAACAAGGAATCATGAAAGCCCCACCTTTCCTCAGAACCACAAGATTGAATAAAAGCCAAAAGATAAAAAAGTGGGTTTTATTTGCTTTTTCATGAGCAGAAAAAGTGGGGATTTTCTTCAAGAACACAAAACCCAAGGAACTGAGAACTTCAGAGTTTCAGACCCATGAAGAATCGTGACCTCTCCCTCTCCCTCACTCACTCTCTACCTCACTCCAAGCACAAGATTTTGATTGCTCAAAACACAAATGGGTCTGAACAAAGCACACCCATTTCATAAAACCAAACCCATTAAAAAGCAAGAAAGGTAGTGCCAAAAAGCCAAGAAAAAAGGGACACTGTAGAGAGGGGTGAATGGAATGGACCCATTAATAAAGATAGAGAGAAGAAGAGCCACAAAAGGGTACAAACCAAGGATATATTGATAGATTTACACAGAGAAAAGAAAGATAGGGCAGAGAGAGAGAGAGAGAGAGTGAGAGAGAGACATTACTCTGTTTGGTGGTGCAGTGCCACTCATTTCTGTAGCAGGCTTTGAAGGGCCCCTCTCTCTTTCTCTCTCATCTCTGAGGAGGACTGATCTCCTTTGTCCTCCACAACACCTCTCTCTCATGATCTGTTTCACTGCAATCAGCGAAATCAAAAATATCTGGATTCTCTCTCTGTTCAAACCCCTGTTCATGGCAGGTCATTTTCTCTCTCTCAGAGGTTTACTTTATAGCAATTTGAAACCAACAAGCTAAAGCTAAAAAAATGTTGATGAGAAAGAAGAGTAAAAGAGGGTAACAAAACCACACACTTTTTGTTCCTGGGTTTTACAAGTAAGGGGTTATGGAAATTTGATTGTGGGGATGGAACAAGAGTGGCACTGTTTTTGCACCCACCTGCACTGTACTTTGTGTTGTGTGTGTAGTTTTTAGAGAGAGAGAGACAGAGAGACAGAGTATAGGGGGAAGGAAGGCTATGGTGGTGGTGAGGTGATGCAAGCAAACGTAAAGAGGTTTAGAAAATCTGAAAGGAGAGATATCTGACCAATTTATTATGAGTGCCTCTGTCGGCTAAATAAAATTACAAAATTTACAGTGTGAAAGTAGCACGTTTTCATGTTATTATTCGGTGGTTGATTTCAATTTTTTTATTTTTAATAAATATTTTTAAAATTTTAAGTAATTTGTTTTTATTTTTAAAAATTTATTTTAATTAAATATATCTAAATATTTATGAAAAATATTTTAACAAGATTTTTTTCATAAATATTATACATTTATATTTATGTTAGGCATGTCTAAAAACTAAAAAAATTATTTAAAATATTAAAAAAATTCAATGAAAATAAAAAAAAAAATACAAAAAAATAAAAAGTAAAATTTTCTAAAAAATGAATACTGAAAACTGAAACCAAACAGAGTAATTATTATTTTTTATTTTTTGAAACGTGTATTAAAAATATACTATTACAAAAATTTATTTTGAATGTGTTTGTGCAGTGAAAATTAAATTTATGAAGTATGGTGGAATTTATGAGTAAAATGAATTTAAACAATTAATTCTTTTTTTTTTTTGAGTAAATTCTAAATACATAAGGGGTTGTTTGGAAACTACAAAAAAAGGATTTTTTTTTAATATCTTTTTATCTTTTTTAACTTACACCATCTCTATATTTTTTGTACACATCTTTTTATAAAAAATAAAAAAAGTATACTTATTTAAGGGTGGTTATTCAGTATTCCCGGTATATGGACATGTAGTGTTCTATAAGGTTTTGATTGGTAGAGAGGAGTAGAGGCCCACGATTTATGTTGGAGATGAGAGACAACATAGGGGCTAAATATTTAGTGGTTGACTTGGAGTATGATCACGTAGTGTTCCGAGATTATTAAATAATTTCCCCTTATTTAGCACTTCTCAAATAATCTCTAAATTTAAGTTTGTAATGTTGTTGTTTTTCTAAACACTTTGTTTTTTTTTTTATTGTATTTTAATTAATTTTTATACAAAAATTTTTTAAATGCGCATAATGTAAAGAAAAAATTATTCAAAAATCTCATTTGAGAAACTGTTACTCCATTTAGTCCTTGAAGTTTTCTTCTAAACCAATTAGTCCTTTTATTTATGGTATATTGTTTGTGTTTAATTTAGGGGTTGTGGAATTTACTTGTTTACCCTTGATTGTGATTTTAGTTTTGATTTTTTCTGATGTTTTGGTGGGTTGGTTATGGTATTGTATTATTTTTCAAATTTTTTGTGGGGATTGTATGGAGTGATTTGGGGAGTTAGTAATGTTACCCATTTGATGTCGGTTTCTGATGTGGAATCTTGGATTGTTGATGGTTTGTTATTTTATTTTCGATCTATTTATTGATATTGGGTGGGTTTATTAAGGTATGTTGATATGTTCTCAATGTTTTTTTTTGGATTGTGTGGAGTGATTTGTAGGGTTAATGTTATTGCCCATTTAATGTGTATTTCTGATGTGGGAGCGTGGATCATTGATGTAGGAGAGGTGTTGTTCATTTTATTTTATTTTTGTTCAATTTCTACTTCGAGTCCTGTGTTGTTGACGTTGCTGCGCAAGGACAAACCCATTTACCACCAGTACAACGAAACCCACTCAAAACGGACACATTTCCATGGCCTTCCATTGAACATCATAAACATATACATCATCATAAAATTTCTCTTCCACTAACATTGCCATACACACCACTCCACATCACTACTAACATCAATCCAACTGGGAAAAAACAAAGGACAAAGAAAAACAAGAACATGTACATCTAAATGTGTTTGATGAGGAAACAATGAAAAACCCACGAAAGATTGACCAAACAAGAAAAGAAAAAAAATGGATTGATCGAAATGTAACAAACATGAACAAAAGAAACCTCTAATTCATGAATGTAAACAGAAAAAATCGTAAGAATCAAAGCTTGAAAACCCAAATTAGTCACAAAACCCAACAATTCCACAAGAATTAGAGCTTCAAAAAAACAAAATTAAATCCGCAAATAATGATATCGCTCCTAACAAACAAACTCCAATTCAAAAGTAGAAAGAGACGAACCCAATTCAGACACGAATCGACAATTGAGGAATCGAAGAGAGAATTCTCACAAGAACAATTTAGGATCCTCCAAGTCGTACCTGTCCACAACAGCCACACCCCAATCTAGAGCGAGAGTAGAGAGAGAAAGAAACAGATAGAGTCAGTCTATATATATCGCGATATAGAGAGAGAAAAACGAAACAGGGGTTTGCAAAAGGAGGGGCGTATTGCAGTGGTAGTGTGAACGTATTTGGGATTGTGCCATTGTTGAATGTTTTTACCTACATTGATCGTGCGGGGGTGTTTATTGAACTATAACGGATCTATGTGTGATGTGGGTCTATGTGTGATGCGGGGGTGTTTAACACTAGGGGACGTCAGTTTTGAGTGTTGCGTATGCCGCCGATTCAGCGATTGCAGGAGTTTTCCGACGATGACAATGAAACTAGAAGATGTGTATTTTTTCTGGGTAATAATGTTGATGTACTGGGGACATTGTAACTATGAGTGATGTTCGAACATTACCAAAAAAACATTGCAAATCAAGACAATAAGTATTATTCGGCACACTAACATTGCAATCCCATAACTTGCCAAATTCATCTTTTTCGAATTGATCGGAAAAAAGGAAAATCCAAAAACCTCTACAGTATGCTTTATGGACAAATTGGTAAATTCAACATCACCAAAATATCCTTCATACCCCTACCTTTTGTACAAATAAATCAGGCAACGATGTACATAAATGTCTTTGACATTGGCATGGAGCTTATTAGTCTACAAGAAAAAAGATAGGATTGAATGGTTCATAAGACTTAAACTTGAGATTTATTGGTGTTTTACCCTTATGTAAATGTATTTAAAAGTAAAATACATTATCATTTTGAGTAAAATACAAGTTTTCCAAATTTTTCATAATTACATGGACTCTTTTTTAAAAAGTAATCCATTAGTCATGTAGATATTAAAAAAGAAGAAGAAGGTGCTATTATCATATTACTTACACCCAAATATATATAATTTATTTGTATTTGTGTGTCTTCATGCCATCTGTCAAAATTGTAAAATTTACTATATTTTCTTCAAATTTTATAGATTAGTATAATTACCCAAAGTAAAAATATTGGTAAAGAAAAAGATAAAAAAATGTGGTAATATGCATAGTTTTTGTTTATTTATTTTTGGAATTTTAGTGATTTTTCCTCGTACAATTTACATTTTAAGTGCATCTAAAATAAATATATATAACAAAAAATAAGAAGCTAAAAATATATTTTTTAAAACCAAGCCAAACAAGTTAAATTATTTTATAATATATATTTTTTTACTTCACAAATTTAAAATTCACACGGAACATAATTCTTGTCATAACTAATTTGTTGGAACTAGGAGTGGGCGCGGGTCGGTTGCGGCTACGAAACCTCCAATCCGCCATCCGTCTGCCAGATTGGCGGATTGGAGAAAATCAATCCGCATCCGTTCGCCAATCCGGCGGATGTGGATTGAGCGGATTGGCGGTTTGGCGGATGGATGCGAATCGGTTTGGCGGTTTTAAATTTTATTTAACTTGTGCCCTTTCTAAAAAAAAAAAAAAAAAAAGTATTACAGTCAATGACTTAAAAAAGTATTACAATTACTGCATGCATCATCCAAAGAAATAAAGTTTGAAACTTTAGAATATCACAATCACTGTATGCCTCATCCACATATTACAATCACAGCATGCCTCATCCACATAAAATATTACAATCTGTGGTTCTTAAAATATAAAAACAATTCAAACCATCAAAACCATGAGCAGAGCAATAGTAGAGATTGTATGTCTCTGCATTGTTACATTTATATATGTTTTCGAAAACAAAAACCAACCAGCATATGTTATATTTTTTATTTATTACTTTTAGAGTTAGATTTAAAAACTAAAAAATATAGATAAATAATATATATATTTTTTTCAATTCAAAAAATATATCCAAGTTGAAAACTTTTTTTCAACAGAATATTTGAATTCTTTTTCAATTGAAAACACAAACAAAATATTTAAACAAATTGAAAATACAAAGTCTTCTAAATTACTAAGGGTGCTCGCGGTTTGGCGGTTCGGTTACGGCCAAAGAAAGCTCAAATCCGCCATCTGTCTGCCAAATTGGCGGATTTGAGAAAATCAATTGCAACCGTCCGCTCGTTATCACGCATCCGTCCAAAATGCGACGGATCGGTTCGGTTCGTTCGGTTTTGGCGGATCAGTATATCCGCTGCTCACTCCTAGTTGAAACTCATTTACTTAATATTTTTTTCTCTCTTTCTTTCTTTTTTTTAATTTTTTTTTAAATCTTAATAATCGATATTAACCTAGGGGTGGATGGCATTGTGGTTAAGGTTTGGAGTTTAAGTCACAAGGTCACAGGTTCAATTCCCTCCCCCCTGGGCCAATCTTCTGAGCGAAGCACAATTGGTTAGGAAGTTGGACCTCAAGTTGTCTAATCAGCACTTGGTGTGGGTTCAATGCTCTCTCGCTATGCGAGTCTTAACTTAAGCGGAGCTTGTCTTGGGAGGTCGGGGCAAGTTCCCAGGTTATAGTCTCCTCGCTCGGAACGGCTAACAGGATACCCTGCTGATCTCTGCAATGGTTAGGAGGTTGGACCTCAAGTTGTCTAATCAGCACTTGGTGTGGGTTCAATGCTCTCTCGCTATACGAGTCTTGACTTAAGCGGAGCTTATCTTGGGAGGTCGGGAGCAAGTTCTCAGGTTATAGTCTCCTCGCATGGAACGGCTAACAGGATACCCTAATGATCTCTGCAAGGAGCGCTGCCTTGAACCTGCGGAAGGGTAGGGAGGATTTTCCTGTAAAAAAAATAATAATAATAAATAAAAATAATAATAATAATTGATATGGTTGTAATATCTGATTGCTGAAAAAAACAAAAAGGCTATTATTTTCCATTTAAATTTTT